CCATCAAAACCAACTCCCATCACCCCACCCCTACTCTATCATTGCTTTGACCGGGATTGCTTATTATTTGAGGAGGTGGAGTTTAAAGTTGTTCTGTAATTACCTTCTTCATCTCCCTTAAAGTGGGCTCCATAAAATGTCTCTGGCATTCTTAGATGGAAAGGTATGGATAATGTTGCCCAATTTATATTAATTTGAAATAGTTCCTATAAATCATCACCTTCTTCAGGAAACAGAAGCACATTTGCACATTGTGCAAATGAAATATGAATGACTGCAAAAACCACAATACAGTCATTGTGATCCTCAGTGGCTGGGTCAGTCACAAATAACCAGAGAAAGTTAAATTCCAGATCACTGGTAAATTTACCAGAATAAAAATTCTGAGATATAACACAGTGTAAATTAGGGCATGCACTCTAGTTTATCCCTCTTTCTAGAACAGATTACTTCATGAGAAAGGGTAAAAAACAAATTTTCGTAACCCAAATTCTAAAAAACAATGTCTCATTTTTGCATATTGTTTTACAATTCTAAAAGCGTTTGAATATATGCTTCTCAGGTAAACCTCTCTCTCAGCAACTCTGTTAGTGACGAGAATTATGGGAAACTGAGGCATATAAGTGATTTGTCTAGGCACACAGAGAATAGGGGAGTGTAGGCTCCAGGCCAAGTCCACATATTTCTTCTGTTTAGGGAAGATACCTGCCTCATTTTGTGATATAAAGAAATTCTTTGAGATATAATGATACCCTAATTTTCCATGTTAGAAAATCTTGAGTTTTCATGTTGGTTTATTTAAAGCAGGATATGCCTGTAACTATGCTATGTTTTTGTTTGCTTTCTTTTTTTCTGTTTTTGGAGAAGGGCATGGCTGAGTTATCACATATGTTTAGTAGTTATTACATATATTTAGTAGTTATTATTATATATTTTATCCTCTGAAGAGAAAATGACTTGCCTTAGATGAGATTAAGTTTCCATCCTGATTTATATATATATATATACTAAAAATAGTAAAAAATAGTAAAAATAGTAAAAAATTCCACCCAGTTCAAAATTTCTTTAAAATCTTAGAATAGAGGGATGACTGGGTGTCTCAGTTGCTTAAGTGTCTGCCTTCGGCTCAGGTCATGATCTCAGGGTCCTGGGATCAAGCCCCACGTCAGGCTCTCTACTCAGCGGGGAGAGTTTGCTTCTCCTTCGCACTCCCTCTGTGCTCTCCCTCTCTCTCTCTCAAATAAATAGATAAAATCTTTAAAAGAAAAATAAAATCTTAGAATACATTTGCTAATTCATCTTTAAGCCACTATACTGATGGCAAACTCATGACTGCCGAGGCAAATCAGTGTGCATTGTTTGTTGTTTGAGATTGGCCTTTTAACCAGAGAAACCTGCAAGCTAAATATCAGGAGTCATAGCCTTTCTAGCACAGGAAGAGAGTCTGTGGTTTAAAGATCCAAGCTTATTTTATTCCTTGTTCCCAACTGTGTTATAGTTATTTTGGGAATCAGTAAACTGGTCTCGGTTCATTCATCTGAAAACTGAGGGAGAAGCTTCCTTAGAAGGACTATGTCAGCAAATAAAGAATTAATAGAGTATTTGGGGTTGCCCAGGTGAAGATTCTAGAGGAAAGAGAATGATTGCTTTGGTTTTCCTATCAAAACCTATGATAATGATCCCTCCAGGGCTTTGGTAAATGGCAGTTTCGGAAAAACTCCAGTGCAGTCAAACAGCAGAGACCAGTGGAAATGAGGAACCCAGAGTTCAAACGTGATACAAAATTGCTTTGCAATCTAAAGCAAGTAATTAGGTTTCCCTGTTTATAAAGGAGTTGATAGGAGCTGGCTCTGCATCACAGAATATTGGAAAGAAACATAAAATAATCTGAGCTCCTTAAAGAAAAGTAATATTGAGATACAAGGAATTCATATAAGTTGCCTTAAAAAGCCTTACAGCCCCCAGCAACAATGTGAGTTAAACCTTTTACTTCAATAGGCCTGATTATAAAACTCACTGATTAGCTATTTTGATAGGATACGTTGTTGCACTGGATCTTTTCCAAAGATTCTTACACCTTTAAAAAAATCCTTGCAGGAATCTCAGCTTGAAAATGGAAGTTGTCCCGTATTAACTGTTCCTGAATGTCTGTCTGGAAGTAGGGCAGGGGTAATCCTTAATACTGCAGGCGATGATGGGCTAGAGGGGCCCAGGAAAAAAACTTTCATGGGTTTTTAAAAGTGCACCCTTACATCATCTGCCATGTAACTGGAATTAATAGTTCTAGCTACCATCCACATATGTTATTAGTATTTTCCCATTCTAGATTGTCCCTGCCTCATATATTCAGTTTTCATATAATCTAAAATTCTGAAATGACTTTTTTGAGAGACCAAAATTTGATTTCTACATCTCCAGTGCTGAGAGCACCCTAGTCCCCAGACCCTTCAGTATGAGAGCTAAGATGTTCCCTGGACCTGCTCAGCCAGCCACCTTTTCCACACCAACCAGTGTGGCCTGCTGCCCTGCTTTTCTGACAGCCTGAGGTGGGGAGTCGGGGTGACAGAAGGACCACTGAGGGCAGAATTGGGGCCTAGGACAGCCTCAGCTAGCCGGCACATTGGGCAGGAGCCCCAGGCAGGCATGGAGATTTAAGTCCTTAAGGCATTGCCCCCTTTGCTTTGGGGTTGTAAAGAATTCCTTTCCCTCATTCTGTGTGTTGGTTCTCTGTCATTGAGGTTAAACTTAAGGGGCCGTCTGACCTTTTGCCCACCCTTATGGAGAAATCAGACCTCTAGAAACAACTTCCCTGGTCTATAGAAAGGTGACAGTTACAAGCCTGCCTCCCCCCAGGACCCTTTGAGGCCTGAAACTGTTCACCGGCCAGGTTGTTTGGCTCCAGGAAATAAGACACATGTACAAACATAATTTGGGATGGATTCATACTTTTTAGTCCTCTCCACAACCATCTCCCCTCCCCCTCAAAATATGTGATTCTATTAAAAAAAATGTGAATCTATCGTTAGCCTTTGAAATTTTGACTTTATAACAATCTTGCTGGGAGAGTATGTTGGTATGTTCCAATCATGTTGGAAAGGGACTGCCTGTGTTGTTTTATTCTCCACATCCTTCACAAATCTGAAACCTAGGAGAGTTCATTGAGTATTTTTTCCTCTGATTTTTTTTTTTTTTAAGATTTTATTTATTTATTTGACACAGAGAGACACAGCGAGAGAGAGAACACAAGCAGGGGGAGTGGGAGAGGGAGAAGCAGGCTTCCCGCAGAGCAGGGAGCCCGATGTGGGGCTCGATCCCAGGACCCTGGGATCATGACCTGAGCCGAAGGCAGATGCTCAACCGACTGAGCCACCCAGGCACCCCTTTTCCTCTGATTTTTAAAGGAAAAAGAAATTTTTATTAAAATCCGGGAACCAGAAATTACCTAGGTTTTAGAGATCTGTGATTATTATTATTTTTTTAAAGATTACATTTATCTACCTGAGAGAGAAAGAGCATGAGCGGTGGGGAGGGGCAGAGGGAGAAGCAGACTCCGCACTGAGCAGGGAGCCCCACGTGCTAATCCTGGGACTCCAGGATCATGACCTGAGCCGAAGGCAGACACCTAACCAACTGAGCCACCCAGGTGCCCCTTGATCTGTGATTATTTTGATTAATTTTTTGTTTTTTGTTTTTGGTAAGGCAGTGGGAGATTATATATAAAGAAGAGCAAATAGAAAGCTGAGAGAAGGATAAAGGAAGTAGAAGAGGGTCACAACACTGTCTTCTACCACCCCCTTTCTCAAAAAGGAGTGTTGTTGTTGTTGTTTTTAAGATTTTATTTATTTGACAGAGAGAGACAGCGAGAGAGGGAACACAAGCAGGGGGACCAGGAGAGGGAGAAGCAGGCCTCCCGCTGAGCAGGGAGCCTGACGCAGGGCTCGATCCCAGGACCCCAGGATCATGACCTGAGCCGAAGGCAGACGCTTAACGACAGAGCCACCCAGGCACCCCAAAAAGGAGTGTTTTAAGAGACATGCATCCATTGAGAGTCCCTGTAGACCCCACAGAGCTGAGCAGGAAGGGGAGTGGGCTGGATTAGACCACCAGACTAAGAGTGAGTCTGGTAATTCCGCAGAAGCACTCATCTGTAGTGCAGAGAATGGTTTCTTCTCCTGCCTAACTCAGGGTGCCAAATACCTCAACCCCAGGCTTGGCCCCTTTCAAGCGGGTGTTTTCTTGACCGCACTGACCCACCTTACTTTTTTTTACAAGCTGTCTTATCTACTAGTATTGAGTCACTATTCTGTTTGTCACCATTATATTTAAGCACCTACATCCTTCTCAGGAAGCTTCTGAATTCCCACCCCGGGTGTAGAGTTCTCTCGTCCTCCGACTTAAGTAACAACGTTTATGGTATGGACCACCTAAGCCAATAAGTGACTCCCAAATTTCTCAGTGTTATAACAAACATTTTTGGATCTTTGGGGTTTTTCTGTTGTTGTTGTTTAAAGATTTTATTTATTTGAGAGAGACAGACAGAGATAGCAAGAGAGAACACGAGCAGGGAGGAAAGGGAAAAGCAGGCTCCCCGCTGAGCAGGAAGCTGGATGTGGGACTCAGTCACAGGACCCCGGGATCATGACCTGAGCTGAAGATGGACGCTCAATCGACTGAGCCACCCAGGTGCCCCCATTTTTGGATCTTTGTAAAAAATCATCTCTCCTCATTCTTCCTTTTTCTTACAAAAAAAATTTAACTAATTTTTTAATACATTTTTATTCTTAATTCAGCTTTTATTTTGAAATCTCATAAAGAATGTTGTGATAACATTTGGTCATTTCCCACATCCAAGGGTGATGTTAAACAAGCACTTAAAAATACTGATATAAACCTGATACTTCTTATTGGTCTTAATTACTTAAATTTAAAATACACTATTGTTAGATAATCTTTAACTACTGATTGGCCCACTTAATGTTTTACTGTATGCTTGATTGCAGGAAATCTTCACCGAACCAGCAGTGTTCCTGAGTATGTCTATAACCTACACTTGGTTGAAAATGACTTTGCTGGCGGGCGTTCACCTGGTACTAAAACCTATGACATGCTAAAGGTAGGATACCAAAGAATAACCCTAGTTATCAGATTACGATGAAAACATTTTTAAACTTCCATAGTTTTTTTTTTAATTCTGTAGATCTTAATTTTTTAATTTTTGTTTTTTTTTTTAAGTAAGCTCTATATCTAACATGGGGCTTGAACTCATGACCCTGAGCTGGGATCAAGAGTCACATGCTCCACCGACTGAGCCAGCCAGGTGCCCCTTCTATAGATTATTTTTAATGTTTACCTTTCCCAAATATTGCCATTTCCTAAATGAATTATATGAGGATTGATTTTGTGTGGACACCAGGGAAAACTGGAGACTTTATTTTTTTAGAAAGATTTTATTTATTTGAGAGTGAGCAAGCACGAGTAGGGGGAGGGAAGGGAGAGGGAGAAGCAGGCTCCCCGCTGAGCAAGGAGCCCGATGCAGAACTCGATCCCAGGACCCTGGGATCATGACCTGAGCTGAAGGCAGCCACTTAACGACGGAGCCACCCAGGTGCCCTGGGTGGTATAAATCCTAGTACAAATAACTAGTCAACCAACTCTTTTTTTTTTTTTTTAAGAAAAGGGGCCAACTTCTTCATTCGGTTCAGAAAATGGACACCTTATATAATAGTCCTGGAGTCCTTGGTCTTTAACAAAGATGAAAACTGACTTAGGCCTCATTTAAACTTTGCTTCTCTGCAGACAGGCACCACTGGCACTTACGAAAGTCGCTGGGGGAGAGGAACGGCACAGTACAGTTCGCAGAAGTCAGTGGAAGAAAGGTCCCTGAGGCAGCCTCTGAGGAGACTTGAGATTTCCCCAGACAGCAGCCCAGAGAGGGTTCATCACTCGCACAGTGATTTCCAGTACGGCCAGAGAAGCCAGGCCGGGCAGGCTCTGCGGCACCAAGACAGCAGGAGATCCACCCTCCTCCTGCCGCCTCGATATGCTCGCTCAGAAATCGTTGGTTTCAGTCACTCCGGGGCCACGAGCAGACATCGCCACTATGACACTTATCACAGACAGTACCAGTACGGCTCTGTGAACGACACCGTGTGTGACAACGCCCCTGTCAACCCGGTGGTGCTCACGTACCCCAGGCCTGGGACCAGTCACAGCATGGGAAACCTCTTGGAGAAGGAGAACTGTCTGACTTCGGGGCCTGCGCCTGGGCACCTCCGGCCACTGGTGCCCCTGCAGGCCGCCAGTCAGAACAGGGCTGCTCAGTCCTGGCACCAGAGCTCCTTCCACAGCACCCGCATGGGGCGGGAAGCGGGGCCCAGTGTTGCCGTGGGTGCAGGCGGGAGGAGAACGCACATGGCCGCTGGCCAAGTGGCAGCCTATGGAAGTGGGAACCTGCTCCTGGAGAGAAGCACTTTCACCGACTCCCAGCTCGGGTGAGTTCCCCTCTCCGTCGGCGGGATGGCCGGTGCTGGCACATTCTGTTCCCACAGCCCTTCAGGGTGAGCTGGCGCTTCTGGGCTCCTGAGAGAGGCTTCCAGAGATAAGTGATTACAACAGTGACTTCTTAGGCGGCTACCTGATTGACAGATGAGCCTGTTTACCTCAGGGACAGGGGCCCAGTTATCTGCTCCTGTGGCAGGTTATGGAGAAATGTGACATGGAGGCCATCTGTTCCAAATTAGATGGTGGATGGCCACCCCTTGGCTGTGTGAAAAATCGGCTCCGAATGAGAGCTAACTCCAAAGTAGGCCAAGAAACGGGTAATTGCATGTATTGTCTCAGTCAGTCTTCGAAATAAAGGGAGGAAAGAGGAAAGAGGAAAAAGTGCGAATTGCTGGTGCTAAGAGGGAACTTCACATGCTATTTTGATAACTACTATCGTGAAAAGATGGCGAGCTGGAGAGCTAAGTAAGGAAAGGCAGCTTAATCTCTAGGTGTCTCTTTCCTTCTTTTGATACCTGATGCTTTTACTTTTTGATTCTAGCAGCAGTGATTTGGAGGGTATTTGTTTTGGCAATACTGCATAATTAAAATAACCAGATTTTTGAAGTCATTCTTTTGCCTCTCATATTGACTTTCTGGCACGACCAGTCTGATCTTTGGAACCTAAGTCTTACTCAGGTTTAATGCTGGAGTACAAATTTCTTGAACTGAGGAAGTTACTAAGAGAAAGGTTGAGAAATTGGTGATTAAATTAGTAACTCCTGAAATAATGATGTAGTATCATTATGGTAAAACATTAAATACATGATTTTTGTTTTATTTCTAAAGTTGCTTGATGCATGTTGTCACCTCTCATCATCCCTTTAAGTGAAATTGTGCAGTATATTCATTGACTGGGCAGGCACTGGTGATAAAAGATGTTAGGACTCATCTAATCTTGAAGCAGGAAATTTTTAAAGATTTTTTATTTATTTGAGAAAGAGTGAGCATGCGGCGGGGGTTGGGGAGTGGGTAGGGGCAGAGGGAGAGGGAGAATCTCAAGCAGACTTCCCTGTGAGCACAAAGCCTGATTGGGGGTGGGGGGATGGGGCTCGACCTCCTGACCCTGAGATCATGATCTGAGCTGAAATTGAGAGTCGGATGCTTAACCGACTGAGCCACCCAGGCGCCCCAGGAAATGTTTTTTATGAAACAAAACTGAGTGTGAGACTTCTAACATTTATTATAGAATGCAGATCTTTTTTTTTTTAAGTCCTAAAGCCCTTTATAGAATGTAGATCTTTGTCACTATGGACGTACTTATAAAGAAGAAAATGCATGAGGTCATTATTTGTGGAGGAAAAAGCTAATCAAGGCCTTTAAGTGGATAATTTAAAATTTATTAAACACCTGCCATATTCTAGGAATTGTGCTTGGCACAATTTTCACAAAGTGATTTTAGCAGTAACAACTCTCATGCCACATCCTCTGACAATTGGCATTCTTCTCTTCCTGCATCTCTGTGCCCCCATGCTTCTTGAGGCACCTGTCACTTCCCAGTCTCTCATCACTCTGCCGCACTTTGGCTTCCATCCCCACCATTTAACCGAAGCATCGTCCTCACAAATGTACCAATGACTGCTTTTTTGCTACATCCAAAGCAGACACATATTCTGTCCTTACGTTCCTCAGCGTTTGGGCAGCAGTTGACAGCACTGTCTGTGAAGTTCTCTCTTCCCTCGGTTTCCAGGGCACTAGCCTCTTCTGGTTTTCCACTCGCCTCTCAAGCTGTGTCTCAGTCTTCTCTATGTGGTCCTTTTCTGCATGCCCAGAGAGGTCATCTTCAGTAACCCTTCTTTGCCGAGTCTAGGCTCTCTTCCAGAGAGGCCCATTTATTACACTCGTATCCTTGTGATTCCCCAAGTTTTTTTTCAGAACTGTCCTCTATCCTGAGCTCTACTGAGATCTGCATGTATTTCTAGCAACTTCCTAGGCATCCCAAACTCAGTATATCAAAAAATAAATGTATTAGCTCCTCCCTACCCTCTACTCCTAACCATCTCCTCAAACTGAAGTCCTGTCCCTTACAAACCTGGAAGTCATGCTTATGTTCAACCCCTCACAATCCCCCATCACTGTATTTCAACCTCCCTAATGGGCCTTAAACTTTTTTCTGTCCATCTCCATTGCACACATCTCTGTGTCTCTGGTCTTGCTCCCTCAGAACTCTTCTCTGACCCTTAGAATGATCTTTCCAAATCTGATTCTTTCTCTGCCTCATTTGTAACCTTTCCGTAATTCCACCAAGTTTTCATACTTTCCAGCATGGCACACATGGCTCAGCCCGAGTTTTCACCTCTGCTTATCACTCCAGTCTTACTCCCCTCCATGCTTTCTCACCACCATCCCCCCACACACCCCCTATACAAACAAACCACTTGGAACCTCTTCACTTAACAGATATTCATTCGTGTATTGCCTTTCTCCTTTCTTCCTTCCTCCCTTCCTTTTTTCCATCTATCTATATCCATCTGTCTCTGTCTGTCTGTCTCTCTTCCCCCCCAGTAGCTCTGGTTTTGCCTGGCTCTTGATTCTGGGTGTAGCTCAGGTCCTGCCTATTTCCTAATCACTCCCCTCGCAATCTAGGTGCCCCAGATAGCTGCACTGTGTGGGTGTCTCTGCCAGTCTAATGCATTGTGGTTATTCATTTCTTACGTCTTTCCCTCTAGACTTTGAACCTGTTGTGAATGTCTTACCATCTTTATATTCTCAGTACCCTAAAACAGAGGCAGGCCCATTATAGGCACTAAATAAATGCATGGTGAGAGAATGAAAGAAGGATGGAAGAAATGAAATATAAAATCTATACTTTTTGTCATCTAAGTTCTTTTGTTGCTCGGATTCTAGAAGAAGTATTAACTGTGCTATTTTGGGTTATCGTTTTAACGGACAGGGCAGATTTTATTAGAATAATTTATCCCATTTCAAAGAATAGAAGGAGCACTTGAGGGTCAAGAAATATTAAAATAAAGAGTAAGAAATCTATTCTTGACAATTCCCAAAGTTGCCATACTAGAGACCAGAATTCATAAAAATGAACTCTTCTTGAAATTTTTGCTCTCCGTGTAAACGAGAAGGGGGTCAGCGGTATTTCCAATAATGAGGAAAGTAAGTCCTCAAGGTGGACTCTCCGCCTGACGCCTATGTTTCTGGTGTCCGCGTCTCTTCCTTCTGAGGCGTGCCCCATGGCGGTTCAGCTCCCGGGGCCGCCTCCTGAGAGTCCTGGCTCCGGGACCCTGTGTTCTCCTTTGCCCTGCATTCTCTCCCATTTCAAACCTATCCAGCCCCTGTTTTTGGAATCTACTTTTTTTTTTTTTATGTCTAGTGAAAGTCCCACATGTAAAGAAGGGTTCTTTCCTATATGTGGAACATTCCTACAGAGTAGGTAGGTACAATTATAAACCTACATAATAACATAAAGTATTAAACAATGGATCTTTCTTTCCAAAAGAAGAATGGCCGGTCAGACAGTTACTAAGGCAGCTGAAAACCAAGACATTGGAGTGAAAAGAGAGTCAATATCTGGTCTAAATCAGACTGATGAAAAAGGTTTAAGAAATTACCAAGTGAAACATTCCAGATCTGTTTTTCTGAAAATATGATTTTTGTACCTGTCAGGGACTGGTGGTTCAGCAAATGAACGTCAGGCTCCTCCAGTGTACCCAGCACTGCAAGAGATAGAAAATGGAATGGACTATATGAAGGTCTAGGAGAGGATTGGTGAAAAAGAAAATAAGACACATCATCAAGTGCTGGCTATGGGAATTCAGAGAACAAAAGAGCATTGTGCTCTAAGATTAGTAGATGGAGCCTATGGAGAGAGATTGGATCCCTAGTAGGATTACCAATCAAGTTCATGACATAGAGAGGCACAGAGCAGAAAAAAATCTTCCATATTCTCTTAATTACCAATGTCTTTAGTTCTTTGATTCTTCAAGTATCTTTCAGCTATATCTTTCTTTCCATTTCCATTTTTAATAGCCCAGTTCAAGGCTTTATTGCCCCACTAAGACTCTTCTAGTTCCCTCAAAATGTTCTCTGGGAACACATACCCACACCAGAGGCAGATTCCCAAAGCAGTGCTCTTTCATCACACTTAAATCTTTGTGAAGTGGGGGAATTTGTATTTCCTGAGCATCTGCCAACACCCAGGAGCTTTCCATTCCTCATCTCACATTGGTTTGGCCCTCTGAGGTGTAGCCCTATTAATATATATAATATCTGGGAACCAGCCTGGGGCAGGGCTGCATTGTTAGTCGGCAAGAATGCTGGTTGCTGAACGACTGCACACACAAAAAAGTACCATTTTTTATTTTTTGCCTATATCATCTCCTATCTGACCAAAGATATTTTACAGTGCTTCCTCTTGCATTTTTCACTTACATTGACATCATTTTAACATTATCTAAAGTTGTTAAAAAGACTCAATTCTGGAGAATGTATTCAGGTAATAATGGGGCCCAGGGGCAACTACTCTTCCTGACTCTCCTCTCCACCACCACCCCTCCCACCCCGCCCCATCTCACAAGCCACATTTCCACAGGCTTCAAGAAGTGTTTTGTGATTGAGTGGGAAGGGAAGTAAGAAGGAGGGAAGGAGGGGAGGAATGCTGTGGGAGGATAGAGGAGGAAATTCAGAAAAGCTCTAGCTGGGGATAGGTACACAGGAAAGATTTCACAGAGCTGTTGATACTTGAATTGAGTCGTGAAGAATGGATAAGAATGGGGTAGAACGATGGGCTTTCTAGAAAAATCAGAGCAGCTTATCAAGAGGCATGCAGTGTTTAGAGAAGGATTAAAGCTCAGTGTGGTTGGAGGATGGGGTAGGCGGTCAGAGGAGGGAAAGGAGGGGGTGAGGATGGCAAGGAGATGGAGCCAGACTGGGGTCAGAATGTATGCCGTGTTACAGAGTTGGACTTCACAGACACTAACAAAACAGAAAATCGACACCC